TCAGTTTGTTTCCTGAGATTAAGAATTCCTTATATCATTGAGGTCATATGATACATGTCTTTTCTCTGATTGTCTTATTTCGCTCAGCATAATACCCTCTAGTTGCATCCACGTCGTTGCAAATGGCAAGATCTCATTCCTTTTGATGGCTGCATAATATTCCATTGTATATATACACCACATCTTCTTTATCCATTTATCTGTTGATGACATCTTGGCTCTTTCCACAGTTTGGCTGTTGTGGACATTGCTGCTATAAACATCGGGGTGCACATACCCCTTCGGATCCCTACATTTGTATCTTTGGGCTAAATACCCAGTAGTGCAATTGCTGGGTCGTACGGTAGCTCTATTTTCAACTTTTTGAGGAACCTCCATACTGTTTCCAGAGTGACTGCACCAGCTTGCATTCCCACCAACAGTGTAGGAGGGTTCCCCTTTCTCTGCATCCTCGCCAACAATCTGTCCTTTCCTGACTTGTTAATTTTAGCCATTCTGACTGGTGTGAGGGGGTATCCCATTGAGGTTTTGATTTGGATTTCCCTGATGCCGAGCAATGTTGAGCACTATTTCATGTGTTGCAGCATTGCATTTACAGCAGGAACAATGAATGTATGAAACTCACTCCTTGGGAATGGTGGTGGCATTCTTTTCTCCTTCCTTTGTAGGTTTTGTAATCACCTGCTTTTACTTTTGTGCTCTAGGACAAGGAGGATACTATTGTAGATTGGAAAGAGATAAAAATAAACATTTTCAGAGAGAATCGAAGCCCCACCTTTGACTTTTTAGGGACCCCCTCTTTTAAATGGAGACCTGCATGGACTTCTGAGCTTGGAGCAAACGATTAAAATGACCCGTGTGTACTAAATCCTGCCCACTGAAATGCTTTGGCCCAACGTGAGATCATTATCAACACTTGAAGGAGATTCACATTTGAATATGTTTTGAATTACAGCTTCTCTTGAAAAATTGGAAGCTCTGGAACCTTGGCCTCCTCCTGTGTGGTGACAGTTTGGCAGGAGCTGAATAATGATGGCCCCTTCAGTCCGGGCTTAGTAGGGTTTTTTTGCCTCTGGCGTGACCTGTTCCATCCACTTCTCCCATTTCTCTTGCCCGCTGGGGCCCTAGTGGTGTTCGTCATGCAACCTCTGACTGAAAGCAGATGAGATCATTAATGTGCTTGGGAAAAATCTGAACAATATTCTAGCAACTCTTCCATTCTCCAGGATTGCTCAAAGAGGGGAGGAAGGTTCTAGAAATTATAGACTTGAGTTCATTGCTTTTGCACAAAAGACAAATCATAGTTGTTAAAAACACAGCCTTTCACGTATGTAGACAAGAAGGGAGAGGCAGCGCAGGTTTACCGAGAGCAGATTCTCTCAGATCTCCATTTCCTTTTTCTTTCTTTCTTT